TGTCAAACAAATATTTTGGCCATGGTGAAGCTGGGTGGCGAGGGTGACCATCTTCTTTGTCACCTGTAAAGACTTTGTACAGAACACAAAGCGTGACAGCCAAAGGGCTAGAAACGCAATATGCTCTACATCCGTCACAGTGGCTATCGACCTATCATGGTAATGGTTGATATAGGTGGTATAGGTGGGTTTCGTAGCTGAGAATCCAATCTGATCCTCCGACATTTCCTCTGGGTCGAAATAATCCCCAGTGGGTCGAAGGCCGGTGATGGCAGCCACGTCGAAAAGCGTGGGTGTTAGCATTCCACAAGGAAGGTGGAAAGTGAAATGAGTGTAATCCCAGAAAAGCAGAGAGGCTATCAGCATCTCAGGGGAGTAGTTGAGACCCGTCTTCGACAGCATAACTAGGTCGTATATCCCCAGGTTCTTCCAGATCGAAGTCTGGCTTTTTTCCATCTTCTCTAGCAAAGCGCTGTAGTCAGGAGTGAGGCTAGGGCTAGACCTAAAAGCCCTAACACCCCTATTGAAGAAGCGAAGATCTATCTTCTCCTTAGCGGGATCTTCATTGTCTTCTGCAGCTTTTTTAGAGCACCCAACAGGTTTGAACGCCTCAAGTACTGGAAATAAGTTCTTGATCTTCATGGATTCATCAATGCATGTGGATAACGGGCCAGACATGGCGAAGATTTGGTTGGAGTATCCGACCGAAATCATTAGTTGGTGTGAATAAGCTTCACGCTCAGCAGTTTCTAGAGGTTCAGGAACCCTTCGTTGGCCTGTAGGGGTAACTATGGGAACAATTGAGAAGATTTTGGGTTTAGCTTTTCTGGAAGGAATGTTAGAACTAGGAGCGTCAGAGGAACCTGAAGCCATTGTTGAGTTAAGGTTGAAGGTGAAGTGAAGAACAAAGTTTTTGCAAGTTTGCAGAGATTTTGTGTTCAGCAATGAGGTTTTGAATGCAGTTAGCGTGAAAAAGTCCCACAATGGGTACCTAGCGCTATTTATAGTGGTTGGGAAATCCCCAAATTCGAGGCCATTTAATGTTGTAGAAGATAGTGGGACACGTGGCGTACCCTCGCTGACATAGCCGTTCTGCAGAAATGAAAAGGTGCAGCGTGCACCCTCGTTTTTGGGAAATTGTCATGATGACAATTTGTGAAAAGACATTGGGCACGCTAAACGCCGTACTGAGGTGACGTCTTAGGTACGGATGGAATGATGGCTTTTTCTTGAGATTGTCAGTGGTTGGTAGAAGACAAAAAGTGCACAGGTTAATTAGTGGCTAAGGATGAAAGACAGGTGTCGAATGGAATCTCAAAGAATGCCTTTTTCTTATTCAGCGTCGAAATAAGGCATTCTTGGGGGGCAATTTGTTGGCTCCTAAATTCGACACCCTTGTTTTTTATATAAGCCATTAAGCATGAAGGATGGTTTCGACCAGCTGGTTCTGTCGAAATGCTCATCAGAAGATGGCAAGTACTTAGAGAATTTCTTCTAAGTAAGAATCCTGTTGCCTTCGACGTCGAAGGTGCTGCTCGACAAAGGAGTTCGATGCTCAGAGCGGAGCGGTTTGAGATTCAAACGTTTGGAGGGAAAACGGTTCCCAGCGGTTACCAAGTACAACGTGCCAAGATCTGGAGCGTCGAACGCTGTGAACGTGCCAAGTGGAGTCATCTCGAAGCAGCGTAACTGCCCGACGGTTACTTGGGATGTGTTTAGTATAAATATTAGTAGTTCACGCAGTTTTTCGCGTGTGTTCACAATTATATACAAGTTACTCATATAGATTCAAGTACCCAGTGTGAGCGAAAGAATTGTTGAGAATGTATGTGTGAAACACCACTTTAATTAATCAAAGTCATTTATTTTCCAGAACTTTACTGTCTTCTCCTTTACTTTTCCAGTCGAAGCCTTTCATTTCAAGCCTTTCTTTATTCTATCAAGTTTTCTTCTTCATGCAATTTACATAAAGCTTCTTTATTTTCTTGTCATTTAATCATTATCAAACTTAGTCAAAACCCCAAAATCAACCATGTCTTAGGATCAATCTGATCGATCCTGCGAGTCACCAAATAAGTAACCTTTTGGAAGATCAGCGATTGTTTACCAATTCCCACGGTAAACAGACCTAAAAAGATTAATCAATAGAAAATAAATATGAGTGATGTGTACAAATAAAATTGAAGTGTCTTTGTGATGATTCCTATTTCTAATTTGATATATTATAAATAGATTTTAGTTTTTTTTCTTCATTTTATTAGACATTTTAACAATATTGCCAAGGTGAATTTTAACTTTAAATTGCAGGAAGAAAATGCATTAGACAATTAAATATAAAAGATTATGAGTAACACTAATCACCAATCTCAATTCAACAAGAAATAACAGCCAAAAAAAAAAAAATTTGACAAATCAAATCATCAAATGGTGTTGTATGTATTTAGAAGAGCAGCTGTAGGAGAAATGACTTCAAATGCTGTGCTTGATTGTGACGACCCTGTGAAGGTACTATTGCTTGAAGTTGAGGTCCCATTTTTGTTATTTTCAAAACCACTAGTCTTGTATTTAGAGGACACAGAATTGAAAGATGAATGCATCTGTAATGGAAGAGTAGGCAAAGGAGCATCAAAATTCAGAACCTGAACAACTTGTCTAATCATAGGCCTCTGAACATGATCTACAAGAGTACACCAAAGTCCAACAATCATCAACCTCTCCATTTCCTTCTCACTGAATTCACCATATAATCTTGAATCACCTGCTTTAAGAATTTCACCTATACCATAAAGCTCCCAAACCCAATCCACCAAGTAAACATGTTCTTCACTAAGACTTGGTTCAATTGCTTTTCTACCACATGCTATCTCCAAAGCAACTACTCCAAAACTATATACATCAGATTCTCTACTAGCTTTACCTCTAGTTGCTGCTTCAGGTGATAGATATCCATATGTTCCTGCTAGAACAGTGGTCTTTGATTCTGTCTCATGGTTCATTAGTCTCGCCAAACCGAAATCTCCAAGCTTTGTGTTAAAGTTACTATCCAACATGATATTGCTTGATTTTATGTCTCTATGAAGTACACACTGCTCACATTCTTCATGTAGGTACAATAATGCTGAGGCTAAGCCTCTAGCTATGTTGTATCGCACCGTCCATGTCAACAAACCTTTACCTTTGAAAAGATAAGAATCTAAGCTTCCGTTTTCCATAAACTCGTAAACTAATAGAAGATCATTTTGTTTGTGACACCAACCAAAGAGTTGAACCAAATTCTTTTGTCGCAATTGACTTATAACTTTGACTTCGGATGCATATTCCTTTACTCCTTGATTTGATCCCTTGGAAACCTTCTTAATTGCAACATGAGTTTTTAAGTCTCTTATGAATCCTTTGTAGACTCCTCCGAAACCACCCTCTCCGATTTTGTGTTCCTTTGCAAAGTTGTTGGTTGCGGTAGCAAGTTCTTCATAGGTAAACTTCCTAGGCAGAGAGCTTCTTTCAAAATCATTATCCATTTCGAGATCGGTCTGCAAAACATCCTCCATTCTGTTATTCCTCAGCTTCCGTTTCGCAAAACAAACCAACCCGATAACACAAATAAAAACAGCAGCACCACCGATAACACCAAGTCCTATGACAAGTCCAGTTTTTGTTTTGTTCTTGTCAGCTTCAAAATCTGAACTTGACTTGAAAGACCATGAGTTAAGAGTATGATACTCCCACCAGAACCCTGTTGCTGAAGTGAATCCAAATTCAACCCATTCAGGTAGATTATCTTTCAGATTAACAACACTTGACAAGTGCTGTTGGATTATGTTGTTATCTTGATAACCTGTGAAGGTGACAGTAATGTTGTTTGAACTTGAATTGTAACTCACTTCAGCATCATATCCTCTTTCGTCCATACTAGTGAACCATTGCGTCGTGTAAGAAGTGGCGATAGAGTTAACATCAATTCCCACATGATCATATTTAGGATCCCAATCATTAACAAAAGTATCAAATTCCACAGCCACAAATGGATTTTCTTTTGTGTAATTTGGATTACTCAACTGGTTTCGGCTCACGAGACCAATACCACTTCCATCTCTTGGAACAGGTAATGGAAAATTCGGGTGTGCCAAGTAGAAGGTGATTCCATCTCCATGGTGGGTTTTGTTGGGGGCGTTAATAGTAAATGAGAAACGAGTAGTGAAATCTGTGACTTCACCTGTGTTTATGTCCCAAAGATGAAACAGTTTTGAATATGTGACTCGACCTAGACTGTCTTTCTCGTACTTTGTGAGTTGGAGAGCTTGGTTGTCTTGAGAGACATCACCTGAGAAATTGAAGGCAATTGTTTTATCACTACTAAGGTTGTCATAGTTGAATGATAATGCAGCTGCATGAGATGTTAGAACTAGCAAGAGTGATAACGGTACGAAAAAGAAAGCAAGAAGAGGAGTTTTCTGATAGTAATAGTAAGATGCTGCCATAGTTGGAAATTTAAATGTAATGTTGGATGGGAAATACTAATAATCATACAAAATGGTATGGCATGAAGTGGTTGGATGTAGGTATTAGTAATTAATTAGTAATAAAGGTTCATTGATTGTGTTTGGTGGTTGATTGAGTCAATGTGTTTACCTTTGAATTAGTCTTGCTCAATTTGTTTATGTGTCTTATGTTTCAATGAATCCATCCATATATAAGTGTAAAATGACCTAAGTTTTCCAAAAAATCATTTTTCTAAGATAAGATGGTCAATAACTAAAACTATTATAAAGGTTTAAAGAATTCTTTTGATCAATATACTATTTTTTTAATCAATGTTGTAGAAAAGAGTTGAAGCTTGCTATGCAAGGAAACACTAACAATTAACAAGAGAATTGAGTCAATTTGAGTAAACTAATGAAAAAGATCTAACATAGAAAAATGTGATTAACAAGGAAGGATACATGAAGACAAGTTCTACATATATTCAAAAAATAGAAAGATGGATTAAAATAAAATTAATTTCATCTAGAATACAGAAGCGACACGGAAGGAGAAACATCAGATGTAGTTGAGTTTGTGTTTGAACTAAAACTTATTATATTCTTGCTTTGACCTTCCTCTGAACCACTTATGCTAAATGGAGCTGTGAATGAATTAAAAGGGCCTTCAGCATATGTTGGTACAGGCATACTTGATGGAAGATTAGGCAGTGAAGCTTCAAAATTAAGCACTTGAATAGCTTGTCTCATTGAAGTCCTATTATTAGGATCAGGGTGAGCACACCAAAGACCAACAATCATCAAGCACTTAATCTGTTCCTCATCAAAATCTCCACTTAGTCTTGGATCCACTGCTTCAAGAATTCTCCCTCTTCCGTATAGCCCCCAAACCCACTCAACAATATGTACTTCATTTTCTTGAGCCTTAATATTAACTGGTCTTCTTCCACACGCTATCTCTAAAGCAACAATTCCAAAACTATACACATCTGTTTCTTTACTTGCCCTTCCAATGGTAGCACATTCAGGAGCTAAGTATCCCATAGTCCCTGCTAAAGCTGTTGTTTGTGCACCTTTTCCATGATCCACAAACCTTGCTAAACCAAAATCTCCAAGTTTTGCATTAAACTCTGAATCAAGCATTATGTTGCTTGCTTTTATGTCTCTATGTATAACACATTGTTCCCATTCTTCATGCAGATATAGCAATGCAGAAGCCAAGCCTTTAGCTATTGTATATCTGACAGCCCATTTCAAAAAGCTTTGTTTTTTGAAAAGATGAATGTCTAAACTACCATTTGGCATGTACTCATATACAAGCAATAATTTCTTCCTTTCATGACACCAACCAATCAACTGCACTAGATTCCTATGCCTTAATTTGCTAATAATTGTTACTTCTGATGCAAACTCCTTTATTCCTTGATGAGAATCTTCTGACACCCTCTTAATAGCAACATAAGATTTTGTGTCTTTAAGAAAACCTCTATAAACACCTCCAAATCCTCCGTGTCCAAGTTTATGCTCATCTTAGAAATTATTAGCTGCATGTGCTAGTTCTGCATATGTATACTTCTTGGGTCCTGTCCCTCTTCCAAATTCCTCACCCATGTACTCTTCAAATTCACCATCTTCCTCTTCTTTTATTTTCTTCCACTTCTTCAACAAGTAAACCGAAATAAAACCAAACACACAAATCAAAACAACTCTACCGATTCCCAATCCAACTGCTAGTCCAGTCTTGGCCTTCTTCTTCTTAGAACTAGGAGCAGTGATTGTTTTGTTGTTACCTTGTTCTGGTTCTAAAGTTGAGCTAAAATCCCATGAAGATATACTATGAACTTCCCATGGAAGCTGAGAAATCAATAGTAACAAATTCCAGCAGATAAAGTCTGAGATCAATGATGGCAGATAAAGATTGGTTCACAGAAGTAGAAGATGTTAAATTATTGAAACCAGTGAATATAATACTTAGATTTAGTGAACTAGCATTGTAATTGATCCAATCCTCATTAAGTCCACCATTTTTTATATCAGCCAGCCATGTCGAATTAGCAACAGATTTCACCGAGTGGATGTCGATTCCAGCATGTTCATGTGCTGGATGTGGATCCCATTCATTCGTAAAGATATCAAACTCCACAGCAACAAATGGACTGTCAGTTGAGTTCAATGGTTGGTTATCAAGTAAGTGTTAGGCCCATATCCCCTCCTTGTGTTGCATTAGGCATCTCTGAACCCTAAGGGACAAGAAAGAATGCAATTCCATCTCCATAATCTGGCCTTTTCTGTGAATCTATTGTAAAAGTGAAATGAGATGTGAAATCTGTGAGATTCTTTGTGGTTTTGTTCCATAGGAAAATTGGTTGAAAATGCGTGGCTACCAATACTTCTATTCATTTGCTTGCCTTGTTGGTTTATTGTAAGTTGAATAGTTGATGATGCTGGAATTGCTGATCCATTATAGATTATGGTCTTGTCGTTAGGATCAAAACTAGTGAAATTAAAGGACAAAGAGGATCCTTTTGGAATAATGAAGTTCAAGAGTAAGAAAATAGATAACAACATTAATAAGAAATTATGATTGGAGAATTGGATATACATTGCTTTTGGTGTTGCAAATAGGTGAAATTTGCAGGATTAGTTTATATGAAACTGCAAAAAGTTAAACTACTTTATGAGCTTTAGGCTGCCAATGCCATTCATTGTTTACTAATCATTCTTCCTTTCTTTTTCTTTTCCAAATGTTGACTTTATGCCATTTGGAAAGAAATACCAAGTTTTATAGAATGAAGACAAAGGAATGTGTCTCATTGTATAATTTAAGCTAGTTTATTGCCACACATGATGTAATGAATTGTCGTATAATTTAATGGACAGCAGGTCAAGGCCTTTTACATAGGACTTTATTTGTATCTTTTCAAACTTTTGTAAGATACCTGTTCATAAGAATTTGAATGGAGCAAGAGTTAGAATAAGTCATTTGAAAGATGTTAAGGTGAAACCGTTGAAAATAAAAGGTAAAATAATGAGCGTGCTTATATGCAAGGAGGACTTTTACTAGTTCAATAGAGCTTTTGGGTCATGAAACTTTAAATTTTGACAATTAAAGCTCCGCATGCAAACAATTCTATGGTTGGATCTATTCTAAATAATTTAATTTGAGTTTGAATTTAACAAGTTTAAAAAAACTTGTGAATAGTGTGTGAAGCGTGGATCTTTTCGGTTTATGAATGGGATGTGAATTGCATTTTGATGGTGAATTCCATTGAAACTCTTGATGTCTCTACATTGCAGCCAGGTGGTGGTAGAGATACATGCAAACGCTCATGCTCAAGTTAGAGACAATCAAAAGTAAAAAGTAATTAAGATTAGAATAGTGTATACCTTAATGTGACACGTTCACTGAGTTTTAATAAGAAAGGAAAAATGCTAGAAGATGCTCCTTCTAGTTATTATGACCAGGTCTTCTAAGAGGCAGATTCAACTTGGGTTCCATGGCACTACTTGAAGCTTCTTGGTGGATAGTTGTCATAAAGGAGTGATGTCGTCAACATCAAGTGAAGAGTGCATAGAGTAGGTGGTCCGTCACTCCAATCATATCAATTACTGTTTGATTAGATCTAACAGTCACTCACACCATGCCTCCTCTCAAGCGGACGGTTTTAACCACTCACGCTATATAAAAAGGAAAACGTGTTATTTCAAATATTTAAATTCATTCTCACTCTCACATACTCTTTATTCTCTCAATGACTTGTGTGCTGGAGTGTTTACCTTGTAGGTTAGTACTCTCGTCGTTGTACTGGAAACATATTCCACCAATTTAAGATCTAATTTCACCGTCTCACCAATCATTTCTGGTTCCCAAGAGGAACATTGATGTCGTTTGTGGTAATCGATTTCTGAGTCATACAATTCCATACAATTCCATAAAGAACAATCGTTTCTTCATCGCAGATCTAAATCTCTGACTCTTTCCAGTCTTAATAAATTCTCCCTCCGTTCCAACACCACAAGATTTGACTCCTCCAATAAAGGAGCATTCCAACCTCTAAACCTTTACCACTGTCTTATAAGGTGAACCTTCAAATCGACCTCCTTTGCAATCGAGAACATAGATAATTTGATGATTCCAACCTCCAACTCCTACAAGCCAATCTGAAAATACAGAGAGCCACTGACCTATTTAAAACGTGTATAAAAAAATACATAACTCTTGGGTTGGCCTCAGCATTGCTTTATTTACAGGAAGAATGGGAAAAATGTGTGATTCATAGGGACATAAAATGAAGCAACAAAATGTTAGACTCCAACTTCAATACTAAGCTTGGGGATTTCGGTCTAGCTAGACTTATGGATCATGAAAAAGGGTCAGAAACCACAGTTGTTGCTGGAACCAGCGGCTACCTAGCACCTGAATACATGGACACGGGCAAGGCTAGAAAGGAATCTGACATATTCAGTTTTGGGATTGTTTTGTTGGAGATAGCCTGTGGGAAAAAAGCCATACTCCACCAAGAACTGGAGGGTGAAGTTCCATTAGTTGAGTGGGTCTGGGAGCTATATGGATTGAGAAATCTAACTGTAGCAGTAGATCCAAAGCTATGTGGGGGTATATGATGTGAAGCAATTAGAATAGTTGGACTTTGGTGTGCTAATCCAGATAACACATCAAGACCATCTATAAAGAAAGTGATTAAGGTACTAAACTTGGAAGCTCCATTACCTATTCTCCCGCAAAATATGCCATTCCTAGCTTCTCTGTCTTTAGATTTACAGGTTAGTTTGAACCTGAAAGTAAACAGAATGTAATAATTAGATTTGATAATTCATATCAAGTATGGAATCTTATGGTTTAGGGGAACTGAATGTTATTACAATGTGGTTTATGAATATTCAACTAACAACAACTATTTTGAAAGTTTTTAATCTGCTAGTGGAAGTTTCGAATCACAATATTCTGAGCTATAGGGTTAACTGGGAAATTGATACTACAATTCATATCTACTTTGAACAGAAACACACATTACATGGTAAATTGATACTACAATTCATATCTACTTTGAACAGAAACACACATTACATGGTAAATTGATACTACAATTCATATCTACTTTGGAAAGTTCAAGACACATTACATGATTTCATTCTTTTTCTTTCATACACACACGGTGCAGAGCGCCATTCTAACAGAACTCGTTGTGCGTTTAACCAGAGATATCAATGGTCTTGACTTCAGGTTTCTTGACCTCCTGTTTAGGAATGGTGACAGTGAGAACGCCATTCTCCATGTTTGCTTTAACTTGATCCATTTTAGCATTCTCCGGTAATCTGAACCTTCTCATGAATTTTCCACTACTTCGCTCCACGCGATGCCACTCATCATTCGTATCTTCCTTCTCAATGTTTCTCTCTCCACTTATCTGAAGAACGCTATCATCTTCAATCTCAACCTTCACTTCTTCCTTCTTCATTCCAGGAAGATCAGCCTTGAACACGTGCGCTTCTGGAGTCTCCTTCCAGTCCACACGCGTGCTCACAAATGCTGAATTATTATCAGGAAAGGAATTGGAAAGTGGAAAATCTTTGAATGGATCCCAAACATCAAGAGAGAATGGATCCAAAACGTTGCTCCTTCGTCTTCCTCCATTGAAGAAACTCGGAATCAGCGACATCTTCTCTATAACTTGGCTGATGGTAGTTATGAATCTTGGATGGTTTGCAAGGCGATACGCGATGAGGTATTTAAACAAATTACAGTGGCAATCGAGTGATTGCTAGAAAATTCGAAACGTTTGGCAGTTTTCGCAGACAGAAGAAGGTTCTAGGTTTCTAAATGGGGGGTAAGTAGAAAGTTCTAGAGATCCTTCTATGAAATCGATCACTCTCAGTTTGAAGCCCGCGTCCTTTGAATTTGGGCTACAACCAATCCTGTGCGGCATACTGCCACACCACACTTATATCTCGTATTCCATTTTTTTTTCACTTTTAAGTTAATGTCCTCACTGTAGTACCGAATTTTTTGAAATTTACAGGTACTTATGGGAAAATTTGCAAATT